CCTTTCCCTGAAGCTTTCTCTGCATATACACTGTCTTCACTGGCTCCTGGAATACAGGTATGAACACTTTTTGTCCAATTGGTTTCCATGTGAATGAAAACATTCTGCAATCCCTAAGAGGCTCACAAGTCTTTGGGTCTTTCCATGAGTATTTCTAATTTCACACTTTTCTCCAATAATTCAAGTATCCATCAGCTTAGCTCACCCTCTTCCTTGGATAACTGGAGGTTCTCCCTGCCCCTCTCCTGCTCCCCTTCTTTCAGGAGGCCCCCTAAGGAGTGAGCCCTGGTGTATGGAGGCTTCTCACTCCTTAGCACCCCTAAAGCTGTTTGTCCTGCCCTGGCTTTGGCTCAGATGGGCCTTTTTCTTCCAAATAGCTGGTGCCTGGAGCAACATCTGACTTAGGTTGAATACCCCTCAGACATATTACTTTTTCTAAAACTCAACATAGTGAATTTTGCTGTATTATTAATTCAGCCTTCTTATGGGGGAATCTGGTTCCCTAAGAGGATAAACTGTATCATTACCTACTGGTGGCAGCAGCAATTAGAGAGATTATAATTCAATTATAATTCAATTAGTTTTAATACCTGATTACCATAACAGTGTTGCCAGTGAAATTCTCCTACTTGTATCAGAATTGCTGTTTACTCTTCAGAGATGCTATAGACTGTATGTTTATGCCCCCCGCAAATTCAGATGTCAAAATCCTAACTTCCAATGTTATGGTATTAAGAGGTGGGGGCCTTTGGGAGGTAATTAGGTCATAAGGTTAGGACTCTAATTAATGGGATTAGTGTTCTTATAAGAGAGACCCCAAAGAGTTCCCTTGCCCCTGCCACCATGTGAGGACATAGTAAAAAGACAGGGGTCTATGAACCCTGAAGCACACCCTTACCAGACACTAAATCTGTAGATGCCTTGATTTTGGACTTCCCATCCTCCAGAACTGTCAGAAATAGGTTTTGTTGTTTATAAGCCACCAGTCTATGATATTCTGTTGTAGCAGCCTGAACAGACTAAGGCAAGAGAGTTTTAGTGCCAGGTGCTTCCTTTATTCATGTCTCAGATACCCCAGGAGTTCTGCAATAATCACAACTATCAAGGTCTGATATCTTATTATATTGTCGCAAAGGTAATTGCTGTTTTGATCACTACTTTTAATGGCAAAACCACAATTACCTTTGCACCAACCTAATATATTCCTAATCACTAAACCATTGTAGAAGGTCCTATAAGGTTGGTGTTACTCCTGTTTTGCAGATGCAGACACTGAGGCTCATGGGTGTGAAGCAGTTTGCTCAAGGTTAAGTGGCAGAGATGTTAGCAGGACTGCCTGGCCCCGTTCTAAGTGGTTCTCTCCTCTGTGCCATCCTTGAAGAGCACCCTGTATGTGGATGAAAGCAGGTGCTTAGCATCACATCACAGGACAGTGTACGATGTCCCCAGGGCATCTGCGACTGTGTTCTATGTCAGTCTGGGGATCTTTCCAGGGCATAAAATGAAGAGACACCACATAGCAAGAAGAGACACCAACCATCACACAGCATATGTTGTGTTAAGATATTACTCTCATTGTCTGTCACTGGGAGCATTATTATTCCTGATCATTTACAGAATCCACTGGCAAGCAGTCATGGCAGCACCACTGCAAGCACTGGGATGAAAATATGTGATCGAGGAATGAAAAGCGGCGCTGGGCGCAGTGGCTCATGCCCATAATCCCAGTACTTAGGGAGGCTGAGGTGGGCAGATCACGAGGTCAGGAGATCAAGACCGTCCTGGCTAACACAGTGAAACTCCAACTCTACTAAAAATACAAAAAGTTAGCCAGGCGTGGTGGCGGGCACCTGTAGTCCCAGCTACTCAGGAGGCTGAGGCAGGAGAATGGTGTGAACCCGGAAGGCAGAGCTTGCAGTGAGCCGAGATAGCCCCACTGCTCTCCAGCCTGGGTGACAGAGTGAGACTCTGTCTCAAAAAAAAAAAAAAAAAAAAAAAAAAAGCCGGAGGCAGGGCATGTTTCACAGTCAAACAGTTTCTTCATGGCAGGACTTTTCAGAGCCTTTAATACGCTATTTTACATTTGGATCTGTAAGAGGAGAATTTAGAATCTATTAATCACACCTGCATTGTATTGTATTTTCACAAAGCTGGACCAGCTCTATTAAATTCCCTTTGAGAAAAGAAGAGGCCCTCTCTTCTTTTCCTCTGCCTTCATACACACACAAACTGCTTCTAGATTTCTAGTTCTTCATGTCCTCTACTCCCAGACAGCAGCAATGGTGCAAATTACATTAAAGTATTTATCCTAATTGAGACTGAACTCCTTTGGTCTAGGATGGTTATAGCCTGGGGCTCTCAAAGCCATCTTCTAATATATTAACGCTCTTCTTGACCAAAGGAGGTACCCATGTCCCCAAACACATGGTGTGCTGAGAAGAGATAGGACATGCCTATCAAAGTTCTAAAGGCATAAACACAAACACACATGCACGGGAAAAAATACTGCCCAAAGAAGCACACATCTTTAACATTCACGGTAAACTTTACACTGAAATTGGCATTTTACTTTTTAAAACTTAGGAAGATGGTTTTGCTTTGTTGTTGCTACTGTGGTTGTTTTGCTTTTATTTGTTTTGAACTGGGCACAAAGAGCAAGATCCAAGCACTGTGTCAGGCTTCCCTCGAAATGCTACTGTAGCTGGATGTTTTTGTGTGTGTGCCAGAGTTTGGAATCACTAAATGCTAAAGATTCGGGAAACGTGCCAGTTTAGATGAACTACCTGCCAGGCATTCTCTGAAATTTCCACCTGGGGTTTGCATGATGGATGAACTAACCTTTGGAAAGTTCGGTTTTGACAGGTGGGAGTGGAATTTTGAAGCCCGGTGTCATCATTGCAATGCTCTGTACACCTCTTGGAAATAACTCTTCCACATCTGGAGAGCTGGGACTGATGAAATTAAAGCTCTTGTTTAGAAGATGTTTCAGTTGTGAGAAACAGAAAGCAGCTCTAGTTGGGGGGAAAATGCATGCATTGGCAGGCTGTGGGTGGCTCACAGTACTGAAGGAAGAGCTGAGCAACCATTTCAGGCAGGCAGGAAATGGGGCACTCTGGGCTATCTGGAAGTAGGGGCTTATGTTTTTCTTTTCTAAGAGGCTGCCATTAAGGTGGCTCAGCTCTGTTCCAGCTCCTAGGAGTGAGACTGAGATTGGGTCACCTAGGCTGGGGGTCTTCCTTTTGACCAGTAGGTTTGAGTGGGGAGGGAGAGGGGAAGTTTGCCAGTCATCATTTCTGGAACCCTAGTCCTGTGTGTGAGGAGTTTTTCTAAGGAAGGAAGAGCCTTCTCAAGTGGGGTCAACTCCAGATGTGAAGAGGAAGCAGATAACTGTGGATGTGACATTCGTTCTGAACTGGAAAGAAGGGACATATGTTAAGTGATAAGTAACGGGAGGTGAGAAAACAGTGAGTTTAAGGAAAAGAACAGTATCTTCAAAATGGTAAAGCTGAGGGGAATGTGCCAGAACCTTCAGGGAGGTGGAGTATGCCCAGACAACTAGCACCGCGGTTTTACCTAGAAAAACTCTTTAGGAGAAGGGCAATTCAATAGAGCTAAATAGATTGACAAAAGAGCCAGCTCTTCTGCTCAAATTTTAATCCACTAAGAAGCCATGTGAGCCCTAAAGGAGACTGCAAACAGCCTGCTCTACATTTTTATGTGACTGAAGTGCCATTTTTGTGTTTTAATTAAACAAGTTTGGTGCTCTCACAGACACTGTTTATTGTCAACCCAACAGCCATTCTTTAACCCTTTTCCCAAGCAGGTAGAATCTGCCTCCTGCAAAGAGACTGAAAATGCTGGATATTCACTCTTCCTAGTCCCCCTGACTTCTTGGGGTGGCCATCTAACATCATTCTAGCTAATGCAAGTAAAGGAAATCTTTCTCAGGGGTGCTGGGAAACTTCTTCTTCCCTGATAAAGGGACCCACAAGCAGAGTTATCTTGTCACATGAATGGGCTCCTTTCTTTCTGCCTTTGAGCATGATGGGATGAGGATGTGATTCTTGGGGATGCTGCAGCCGCCTTGTGATCATGAGGGGAGAATCACTGGCATACTGAAGATGGTGGAGCAAGAGGCTGGGGGCTTTAAGAACACCAACTTCTCAATTTCTTATTATTTTTAATCTTAATAAACCCCTACTGATTAAGCTTCTTTCACTGGGGTGTATTGTTGGCTGCATTCTAATGTATCTCAATGGAAACAGTCGCCCAAGGTAAAATCAAACAATGTCATATAAAATGAAGATTCTTGACTTCTCTTGGGGGAATATGTGTTTGGGCCGGCATGGTGGCTCACGCCTGTAATCCCAGCATGTTGGGAGGCCAAGGTGGGCAGATCACGAGGTCGGGAGATCAAGACCATCCTGGCTAATATGGTGAAACCCCGTCTCTACTAAAAAATACAAAAAATCAGCTGGGCGTGTTGGTGGGCACCTGTAGTCCCAGCTACTCAGGAGTCTGGGGCAGGAGAATGGCGTGAACCCAGGAGGCGGAGCTTGCAGTGAGCCAGGATCATGCCACTGCACTCCAGCCTGGGCGACAAAGCAAGACTCCGTCAAAAAAAAAAAAAAAAAAATCAAAAGATCTGACAACACTGGGCCTGCCTTTCTATCCGACAAATAACAACCTGCAGCTAAAGAGGGTCAGCACCACTTCCCTTGGGTGTGTGCTTTTAGTTCTCCACAGTCTCCACCATTCCTTAATGTCCCCACTTGCCTCATTCACTGTAATCTCTTCCTAGTACCTCAAGGTATCTGAGCTTGTGGCTGCCGATCTCTAATATGGACTCTGAGTAAGTTTACTCAATGAAGGAAGAAATTCAGGCAGCCCACAGCTCCCAGGGTGGGCTCGGACTCTTCACACTGTGTGTAACCTACTTTGCCAAAGAAGACTGAATTAGGAACCCCACATCCAAAAACAGTCAGGGGTTGAGGAATAAATGTTCTCATTATGGCCATTTAATTGGTACACTGTGATGTTATATTTACTTCACATGAATAGAGCATGAAATTAAAACATAAGGATCTGTAAAAATACCTGCCTTTTGTGAACTGGCTTACATTGTTCATTATGACTCCTGAGGATCCTACCATCAGCTTCATGTTATTACATCATTTGTAGTTTTAACGATATTTTAATCAAAGCTTTTACATGGCCAGTCTTAGGATTTTCTGTGTAATTATCGGCATTAATAATACTCTGTTGTTACTTTGCAGAGTACTTCCTGGCCATTTATCTTTAATTATTTATATTAAATTTACACTTTGTGGTTCAGAATTTTAAGCCTTTAACAACTGAAGTACAATCCTTTTCCTTTCCTCCTGCTTTCTGTCACAGAACTCAGATAAAACCAGAATCAAATAAGAATGTGGGCCACATCAGGATGGGTTTTTTTTTTTTTTTTTTTTTTTCCTAACATTAGCAAAGGATTCTTTTCCTATATTTCTATTTGGGGCTTTATTTTTTGAAAATTATAGAGTTTTTAGTTAAATTATTGTTTAATTTTCTAATTTTAAATGAATTTTAGCTCAGAATTTAAAATTATGTCTTTTCAATTGCTATGATTTATCTCTTAAAATATCCACATTCATCTTCAAAGTTGCTTGCCAATGTAACTACTATAACTTTTAAAAAATCAATGGCTTGACTTTGGATGGAAGTCAATTCAAGCCTCCCCTTCTCCCACTCCATCCATGGGATAATCACATGACTCTGTGCCAAAGCCAGTTTGGAAGGACCAGCGCTGGAGAGAGCTGCACTGGGGCTCATGGAGCATAGTCTGTGGTACATGCACTCCAAGGTTAAGCCCATGGAGCTTAACGGAAATGGCTGATCAAAGATATTCTGATGTTTCTAACTTGGACATGCAGCCCAGCGCTGATCAGTTGACCATTTAGGCAGCCACTCAAGTCTCTCAAAATGCAGTCTGTTATGTTAACTGCCCAAAAGTGACACTCTTGGCCAGGTGCAGTGGCTCACACTTATAATCCCAGCACTTTGAGATGCTGAGGCGAGATCACTTGAGGCCAGGAGTTCGAGACCAGCCTGGCCAACATGGTGAAATCCCGTGTCTACTAAAAATACAAAAATTAGCCAGGCGTGGAGGTGGGTGCCTGTAGTCTTAGCTATTTGGGAGGCTGAGGCACGAGAATAGCTTGAACCCAGAAGCAGAGGTTGCAATGAGCCGAGATCATGCCACTGCACTCCAGTCTGGGCAACAGAGCGAGACTCCATCTCAAAAAAAAAAGTAACACTCCGGATAGCAAAGATGCATCACCTCGTAGCACCCAGGCCCAGGAATCTGAAGAACCACATGGTACATCCGATCGGAACTGGATGAAGGGGATGTTCACTGCCTTGAAAAAACAAGCTGGCCAAGGAGCAGTGTGCTGTATACTCAGACTGAAAAGGGTTCATATTGACTGGCTGGCTGGCTGTATTCAACAATGCAAAGAGCTGAGCGAGAGACATGGCACATTGCTGATTCTGTTCTTGTACCCTCTACCAGAGTCCTATCATGCTGAAACATTGCCTGCTAGATAGGAACGGGAACACACCACCACTTGGAGAATCCTTAGAGCAGAGCTCTGCAAACTCAGACCTTAAAGGGGAAAAACTCTCAGCCTGAAGCTGCTTCTTACCTCCAATGGCCACTCAGCCACTCCCTTGAGATGAGCCCCAGGCATGCGGTTTCTGATCTGTGAGATCAGTCACACCACTTCTTGCAGAAGAGCTAAGTAAAGCCCCCATGCCCCCAAAATTCACTGTATGAGGCAGAGCTACAGAAGTGGCTCCACAAACAGACTGGAAGATGGGAAGGATATTGTGCCCATGAACCCTCAGGCAACTACAGTGACCTCATCCCCCACACATGCACGCATGCATCTTCACGCTCATTGTGTTTGGTGGAGGTCTGTGCATGAAGTTATTAATTTTATTTGCTTCCAGATTCAATGATTCAAAAGCCCTGGAAATGCTCAAGCTGTCACTCCAAGTTTCAAATCTATTTTAGAGACATGGGCTATGAGAAGCTGATGGCTCAGAAAGGTTCTGAGCCTTTGCTTCCAAGCTCAGCACCTGGAATGACCTACAGACAAAGCTGGCTTTGGGTCTCTGCTGAGAAACCCGCTGCATCCCCAAATGACTTGTTGCACTGGGCGGCCAACACCAACTCTTCCAGGTGGGAGGTTTTATTATGTTTTACAACCATGAAAACATAGGAAGGTGGCTGTTACAGCAAACACTTTGGATACAGGAATCGGCCAAGCTCCCCAAACCCCACCTTTGCAGCCTCTTCCACACGTCTCTCAGAGATTGTTCCTGGAGTCCTTCGTTTGCAAATTCAAGGATGTTGGAAGTAGACATTTAAAGTAGCAGGAACACCATCAGTGAAACAGAAGCAGAAGTACGATGACTTTGAGAAACAACTGATGAAAAACACTACAGAAAACCATTTCTAGTGTGTTATGATGTCAGGGTGGCAGATGTGCCCAGGGCTTAGCGTCCATCCTCCCAGGACACTGGTCATACGGGGCCTTCAGTGATCCCCTCCAGAGGCAAGCTGGGTGCGCTGTCTGCTGTGGGTCTCTCCTCTTTCTTCAGCGAGGCTGGGACTCGCAGACTAACGTAGGGTTTATGGCAAGCTGTGTTGGCCAGAGGAGGATAGTGCTGTCTGTAGCAAATGTATGCAAAAATGAGGCCGATGACTCCGCCCACAAACGAATCTAGGCAGGAAACAGCAGAGCGGGAAAAATGGGTTACTATTTGTTCAAATGTGGCCAGTTATATTTTCCAGAAAGCACTTCTCCTTCCTGTTCTAAGACCTGGTTTGCTTATAGGACCCCCTGAAAGACTAACGGAAAGAGAAACCACGGTAGTGGCCTCTGCAAACTGCCATCATTTCTGGCACTTAAACATTAAAAAATGAGTACTTGATTCTTTCTTCCCTGTTTTTTGCTCTGTCGCCCAGGCTGGAGTACAGTGGTGCAATCTCGCCTCACTGTAGCATCCACCTCCCCAGTTCACGTGATTCTCCTGCCTTAGCCTCCCAAGTAGCTGGGATTTCAGGCACGTGCCACCACTTTCAGCTAATTTATGCGTTTTTAGTAGAGACAGGGTTTCACCATGTTGGCCAGGCTGGTCTTGAACTCCTGACCTCAAGTGATCTGCACATCTCGGCCTCCCAAAGCGTTGGGATCACAGGCGTGAACCTCCACACCAAGCCCTTCCCTGTATTTCTTTAACTCACACCTGAGCATTGCATAAACTCAAATTTGTATTCCTGATTTTTGAAATCAATTCTAAATTCTGGAAGAAAAATTCAAGCCATCTCTGTAGGATCTAAATATCTCGGGAGCTGTGTGTGTGTTTTTTTTTTTAGTAAGTTCCCACCAGTGTAATATTGCTGGTGTGCTGCTGAAAATCCAGCAGGTGAAAGGGTCTCTGCCTCATGATTAGTGGTTTCCCAGGGATGAAATGAACCTTCTGTGTCACAGACAAAGTGAATAAAACATTTTAAGACATGCCTGTGTTGGCAAACTCAGCAGACCTATGGCAGGAAGGGCTCAATTCTCTAACAGCTACAGATCTTACCAGCTGGGAGGCGAGAGGGGAGCAGGTGAGGCAGGGGGGTACATCTGCAGGGAATACCAGCCCTCTGCCCCAGGGAAGCCCCTTGCCAAAGAGAACATTCAGGTAGTTCTCAATAGAGACCTCATAAAAACAGCTCACACCAACAACGCTTGCTTAGTATCTGTGTGTGTGTTCACTTTAACTGTCTATGGGTTATTTTTGCTGAAAAGATTCTAGTCTAGTGGAAAATCTCCCCTAACCAAAAAAAAAAAAAAAAAAAAAAAAAAAAGGGAACTCTTTCAAGGTTGCTGTCAGGCTGAATTGCCATTCTCCATTGGGGGGGTCTCCACTTTCACAGTTATTTTCTTGTTGAACCATACAGACTTCCCGTAGACAGGCAGGATCAGCCCCATTTTCCCCAAAAGAATTGGGCTTGAAACCTGGAGTCCTGATCCTGTAGTTGCACTGGTCCGTGGTGCTGTGCACACACCCTGGCGGGTTCATTCCAGGCTCAATAACCACATGATTCTGAGGTCCCAGCCTTCAGGATACAGCAGGCCCATGGGCTGAGAGGTGTGTCCGCCTGCATTCGGGTCGGGGCCAATGGTGTTCCTGAAGGATCAGTGCTCAGGGTGGTAAGTTTTCCAACACTTCTCAGTAAGCAACACACTGTAGAGACTTCAATTTAAGTCACAAACTAATGTGCCTCTGTCTCCTGTAGGTGACATTTTGAGTGGTTGTCAAAGAAATGTATCTTTCAAGAAAACAAGCTGCTCAATGCTTAGAAATGTGCATTGCACCTATCAGTCATTTTTTGTGATCCTGTTATTGGTATCCTGGTTCTATCTAGATCTAACAGGATAATTTCTGAGGACAGGGACAATATTTTCATATTTCAGTATCGTTCATAGAACTGTTTCTACTTTCAGAGTTTCTATGAAGCTAATAGAAAAACATGAAAAGTTCTATAATGAACAGCTTTATCTTCTTTAAAACAAATTTAGTAATTTCATGCATGTAATTTTATTAATCTGCAATAGCAAAGCAGGAAAAGAAGTATAAATAAAAGAAAAGCTTTTTTATTTTAGACATGTCCATGATGACAGCATAAGCTTTCCATGCATGCAGACCCGGGACCCAGAACACTGCTCTGGAACTGGACTTGGGACACAGCGGTGATGTTCTCTTAAGAGTAAATAGGCACAGCCATTCTCCTGCTTGGCTGACTCCTTCCCACTGCTGTAAGAGAACAGCCAAGCCCCTGTATCATTTAAGGCTGCATCCCTGGCCCTGCCAACCATCCCAGCTATTTCCCCTTCACTCATCCTACCGAAGCCATGGTCTTCCCTTTAGTTCCTCAAATACATGTGCTGCTTCTCCTCTTGGGGCTCCACATGTGCTGTTCTGATCCTGGATTCCCAGGAATCCCTTCTCCTCATGCCTTCCCCTAATCAATTTCTATTCATATTTCAGAGCTCAATATCATTTTTCTATTCATACTTCAGAGCTCAATACCCTTGTGCAACATAGCCTCATCTGACCTCCAGACTAGACCAAGTCTCCCAGTTACACATGTTAGTAGCCCATCCCCACTCCCTGTGCAATTAGAGTGGCGAACAATGACAAATTGTGCGACTGTTTAATATTTAATGCTGGACTCAACTCTATAAGGGTTGGCCATTGGTTCCTTCAACACCTTGGCCAACACCTCGCTCACAGCATAACTATGTTTGTTGAGGGAAATGGATACATAGTAACTCAGGGTTAGATTGGGTTGCTGTCCTGTGTGTTTTTGGGTGTGCCCCTTTCCCATTCTGGTCCTCTTGATGACCTCATCAGTAACATATTAGCATGGAACCACACGTTCAAGGTGCCTAAGAGGACTTGTTATATAAATGTTCCAGGAATTTGATCCTGAGTCAGCCTACTAAGGTCATACATTGAGATTATTTGGAGACTCTACCAAGGTGCATTAAGAAAATAGGTCATATCCCTTAGCAGTTTGTGGGACCAAGGAGGGCGAATTGCCTAAGCTCATGAGTTTGAGACCAGCCTGGGCAACACAGTGAAACCCTGTCTCTACTAAAAATACAACAACAACAACAACAAAATTAGCCAGGCATGGTGGCATGCACCTTAATCTCAGCTACTCGAGACTGAGGCAGGAGAATTGTTTGAACCCGGGAGGCAGAGGTTGCAGTGAGCTAAGATCGCACTACTGTGCTCCAGCCCAGGTAACAGAGCAAGACTCCATCTCTTTAAAAAAAAAAGAAGAAAGAAAAAAGAAAAGAAAAGAAAAAAAATAGGTCATATCCTCTCGTTGGTTGAGATAAAATATCAGAAACAAAAGTCATTCTAACTGATCAAAGGGAGAGACCAAATAATTGTCACTGCTTTCTCCCCATACTAGTTCAAACGTCCACAACTGATGAACACAGTGTGACTGCGCAGTAGCTGTCTGGCAAAAAGGCAACGAATACATATTCGTGTCTGCTCAGACTTGGTGAGCAGCCATCAGAGTAGGGGGGATTGGAGGACAGCAGGGAAAACAAGCGGCATTACCAAGAATGAACAAGAAAAGGAAGTAGCAGATCCATTCCCAAGAGAAGAACTGTTTGGCCATTTGGAGGCTCCTGGGGCTGTGGTAAGGTAACCACCACTTATCCTCACCCCCGATCCAAGAATCTTCAATGCTGAGAAATCCTAAGGCTGACATTGCAGCTCCTACCAGGGCAAGTTGCTTTGCCTCTCTGAGTTTCCTTATCTCTCAACTGTGGATCTCAGTATCTGCCTCAGTAAGTTGTGATGATAATTTAATAATATATTACTTCTAATGATTATTTCATGGAGCATGCCAAAATAGGACATAAACATAGTATCCATCCTTGTTATCCTTTTCCCATTCCTCTCACATTCCACTCCAGAGCTGCTGGAGGCTTTCTCATCCTGCCCCATCCTTCTCCTCACACAGCGATGCAGCAGCTTACAGATCTCACCTCTCTGACATGGCTACATTTTCATAGCATTGTAAATAAACTTCTAAGGAACTTAAAAACACATTTGTCACCCAAGAAATTGTAAAACCATATGTACCATGAATTCTGGAGCAGGGCCAGAGGGCGTAATTAGCATGATTAAATGAAGTTGCTTAAATGAAGAATCTCTTCACTAGCTTATGGCCACCAGCCTATAAAATGTGTCAGGCCTTTTACTAGTTCAAGGTCTTAGAGTTGCACTATTGTTTTGTTTTTCCTCTAACCCCAGGAAACAGTCCCATGAGGTATTTTTATTAGCATCTAAAATGAGCCACAACATCTGCAGTTGAGCCATTGACTAAACAGACCAAAGAGTAAAACCTACAAATAACACCATTCAACATTCTATTTTCTGTAGCACAGCATTTCATTAGGTGGATCATTGACCAAAAGACATCAAACCATCCCAAGGATGTTTCCCAGACTTACTGACATAGCAGCATGCATGGAAATGACAATTCCTGCCAATTCTGTTTCCCATTTAATGGAATGAGTGAAAAGTGATATCACAGGTGCTATGGGAGTTATCAGAAGTAACAAGGGCAATGAAAGGTCTATCCAAGCTGCTTCTCAGCAAAGTCATTTTGGGGTTGTGTTTATTACAAAGGTGGTGAACAAGATCCAAACAATAACTTACTTTATGAAGGAGCTTGTCATCAATTGCCTCAAGTGGGCTATTGCTATTTTGATAAAATCGCATTCGTATCCTCTTGATAGACAAGCAAGTGGGGGACAAGAAAGCCCTTATTGGGGGAAAAACACTTGGGATTAACTTTGCCCCAAATCAACTGGACGTCTCAAAAGGGAAATAAATGGATCTCAGTGTTTTTGGAATACAAAATACTTCTGTCTCCTTACGTAGCACTGATGCCATTCATTCATACACAAGCACTGCATATGTATCAGGGGTCGGGCATGATGGCCAAGCCTAGGGCACAGGCTGAACCAATGGGACAAGTCCCTGCTGTCCCAGAGTTTCCAGCAAAGGGACAAGACAGACACTAAACAATGACAGCCTTATCAGCAATTTGCAGCTATGATAAGCACCATGAAGGAAACGTGTAAGGGTCTGTGATCTCACCCAGTACACAGACTTGGGCTATTCCAGAGCAGAGGTT